ATCTCAACCCATGAGTTTTCCAGCTTTCCCCCTTCTGATTCTCTTCCCCAACCCACTGAGTAAGTGGCTGTGAGGCAGTTGGTGGCTGGATGGGGTTAAACCACAACACACCAGTGAGCTTGGGAATGAGCAGAGACAAGATGGGAAGAGCACACATCCAAGCATGCTACTGCCACAGCACACTACCTGGAGTACACCTGCTGTACCACATGTTGGGGTAGGAACCCCACTTGTCTCCCTCTAATTCTGTGCTTGGCCTGGACTTCACCGAATATCAGACTTGGGCACACCTGTCACAGTCCTGGGCCAGTTTGCAAACACCAGCAGTGCCATAGCTACTCACTCCTGGCAGCCTGGAGCTTCCACAGAGGCACACACTCCCTGCCTGCTACGCCCTGCCCTGCAGAGCCAAGGCACACAAAGGCTTATTCTGGCAGTGTCACAAGTTGTGGAATTTGAGATGAGTAAACTTCAGAGGTCTAAGAAAATCCCTTTGAATTAGTGACACAAAAAGCTGGAGGAAGATTCAAGTCTATGACTTATTTATTGATGAGTTCTTTAGATACCTTTTAAGAACAAAAAGGACTTTGACAAGAAATTCTTCTACCACGAAAAGCCCATAAAGGAAAAAAGGCATTTTTTTCCAAGCCTCTGATCTGCCAGCATCATGTGCTGCTGATGTGCATTCCCTAACCATGGAAAGGGATAAAGTGATTTCTCTTGTTTGTTCTATCCTGTGCAAGTCACAGAAGGAGAGCAACGAGGGGTATTTCAGGTGACAGTGAGGCAGTTCCTTAATCACATAGCTGTTTGCTATTGAAAATAGGATAGTTAGATCTGAGTTCCTTCCCCCAACGCAGAAGAAGTCCTGCTGCCTTCTACCCACTCCTTAGGTAGGAACCCATCAGTGATTTGGGAGAGATTTGAACTAAATGAAAGAGAATTTGTAGACTGGAAAGATCTGAAATTACCTTTTGCTCTATGTGTCTGTGTCCTGACAACTGCCTTTCTACTGGTTTAAGTGTCCAAACCTGACTTCACTGGGGTCACCCCTTCTCCAGCATCAGTGATAAAGGCTTGTCCCCCATCAAGGGATAGAAAGGCCATCTGGACTACCTAAAGCCAGTGGAGCTTGTCTTTTCATTCACTGACAAAACATACAAAACTTTCTAATTCTGTATGACAAGATTCCTGGTTAGGTAAGTATCCTCAACCCATTCCGAAGCTCCTCATAAAACATCCTTTGCCTGGTTGCCTTGTCATGAGAAAGTACTTATTTTCTCATCTGTCTCTGCTGCTTCTAAAAAAATAGAAGTATTAAAGGAAGAATAATAAATACAAGCTAAGAGCTACTATAAGAGAATTCTCACAATGCTTCCTAAATATTTGTGTTTCCTAAAGTTTGAAATTTAATGTGCATTAAATAAATCGTCTGGTATTTATTTATGGTATCTTTTAATCATGGATCAGACCAAGTACCCTATCCATAGCCATTCTTGGGAAGAAATTTTCTTCTTGGTCACTGAAGATGACCACACAGGGTCCTTGCAGAGTATTTCAGCACTGTTTTTAAACTCAAACCTGGCACAGCACTTACCCATCCTTCCCAGCACAGTGCTACTGGCCAGACACACCAGAGTGTATTTCTTTCTCTCCTCTTGATAACACAACTATTATATTCACAAAGAACCTTCACTTCACATGCTTAAAGAAGTTTGTAAATGAGGGAGTGATCATTATTTTTCCCTATGCTTCCCACAGCTGCAGAGTCCCTGGGGTCCCTTCCCAAACTGGGTTCCCCAAGAGCCCCAGTGCACCCCAGGCAGGACAGCCACACGCTGCTGCTGCGTGTGCTCTCCTCACAGGGGCAAGGCCTGCTCTAGCAGTTTTAGCCACTGTGCCTGCTTAATTTTCTGAATTTCCACATGATCCTTATTGCTTCTGATCCCCTGTCTGGAAGCCAAATGAAAGTTTGCATCAAAGCTCCAGGAGTGCTGGGGAGAGGCAGCACTGACATGGATCAGCCCATTTAGCTCCCTGTAACTGGATTGCTTTCAGACACATATGCTAGTAGCAATTCATTTGCACTTAATTGATCACAATTTTTGTTTTAGAAGAGCCAAATAATGCTCAGGAGGCCTCATTAGTGCTACAGTACTACTTAATTCCGCTGACTCGAGAGAAATCTCTCGTGTGAAACGGAGCAGGTAAGCTTAGTGTCAGTTTAAATTCCACTGAAGTTAATAAAGCTTCACTCATTCAAGAAAAATTCTTGCCAGTAAGAAAAAGCACAGTCCTTCCCCATTCCTAAGGCCTTCCAATGGCAGGGGTTGAGGTTAACACCTCTCATATCCTTAACCTACGAATTCCTTCAAAGTGTCAAACAGTGACCATTTCTTTGCATTGCTGTCAGACATGGAACCAACCCCTCACTTCCAGGGGGCTGACCACAGACCACAGCTCTGGCAGCATCAGCTGTGCTGCTGGACCTGTCCTCCCAGGCTTCTTTTCTATCACTTCACCACAAAAGAGCTGAATCCACATCAAAACCAAACAAACTGACCCACGAAAGGAAAATCAAACAGAAGTTGCACTTTCTGTTCTTTCTTCTGTTGGAATCAGAAAACCTGCCTGTCAGGCTGTTCAGTTCACTTGGCTAGAACATGAGTACTCAGGGGTCACACTTTGCTATACTAGAGGTATTAAGTTAGCTGATCAAACAAATCCACAATCCAGACTTGCATCTCTAAGCATCTACCCATCCCACATGTTTTGTTGCTCCGTGTTCTCCCAGTTTGGGGATGTTCTGGGGATTATTAAAGGATAAGAACATTTCTCCCTTGCTCATACTGCCTGCTTTAGTTTCCAAAAACCTGCCTTGTTACAGACAATCACATCCCATACTACACTTTGCTAGAGATTTGCCACAATACTCCCACTAAAGCAAGGTCAGGATGTCTCTCTCCAGCAGCCCCTCAGTTATTTGGGTTGTCTGTTTATAACCACTTCCCCTAACAGCACAAACCCCCCTGAACTGAGCAAAAAATCTCATAAACCCCAGTCCTTTTCAATCCACACCCTCCATTCCAAAGGATGTAAGTCATTAGAAACACAGCCTAAATGAGAGATAATGAATTACTGAGCTCAAACCTCTGTATTGTGGGTCCCTTCATCAGTCATCAACTTACAATGTAATCATAAAAACAATTTCTCACTCCCATTCCATAACTGTTCCCCAAGCTTTACTCCTCTGGGGGTTAGACACTTCTAATTTCAGCCTAAGCCTATTCATGGCCATTTTGTTCCTGTGCCAATATTGCTGTTTAGCTCAAACAATTCTTCCTTCTCATGTATTTGTAGACATGAGGCATTGCATTTTCTTTTGTTAAGCTCTACCAAGGCAAGTTCCACCAGAGACTTTGCTGCCTGTTACCATGCTTTTGCAGTACCCCAGCCAAAGAAATTGGACCTCATGTTCATATGGCTCCAGTCTGACAGCAGCTAACTCCAAGGTGCAAAAGAGACTGTTCACATAACGTGGAACATGTCCTGGGGGCAGAGGCAACTGCTTAGATAAATGTGAAGCACTGGTCTTGGAACCAAGAGATGTTGGAGGTGACACCCTCACAACTGGAAAAGCAAGCTGAAGGCAAAGAGAGAGAGGATATTGGACCAGGCAGCAAGGACATGGGCCTGGTTAGTATGCTCTGCTTCTCTGGACTGGCAAAGGATCCAGATTTAGTGGAATCCTTCACTAGTCTGGTGCAAAACACCACATCTGACCAGTGACACACTAGGAAAAGACTGAGAAGGTTTGGAGGAAGTGAGGGAGCAGATTTCAGAGGAAAAGAAAGAACAGGAATAAAAGTACTGAGAATTAAGACCCTGGTCACCTGGGGCACTAGTCCAGAGGCCAACCCAGGCTGTGCTGAGCTGCCCCTGGTGGAACACCATCTCCTGCACACTGCAGCCTCTGCAGTCAGGCTGAGCAGGACCTTGATCCCTCTGTGGCCAATACAAGTGCCTGTAAATGGCTCTGTGATTATGCAGGTATTGCCTTGTGATTAAACAGGACCTGTGCAATCACTGAGAGCAAGCAGTAAGTACAAGCCAGAGAGAGGAAAATGACTGTATTCCCACAGGGATTGTGAATCTCCAGATGGCACTGTAACATCATCCCAAAGAGCAGACAGTTCCTACAACAGCAAATGTGCTAACAGCTGAGCCAGTTTGCCTCCTGTGCATAATTACTCATCCCATTGAAACCATGATTTACAGGCTACAAATGTTAAAGCTACACTTTAATTTCAATTTAAACCTTAGATATGAAACTTGGTGCATATTGTGTGCGTAGCAGCTGGAGAAAAGCAGCCTGCTTTGTCCTAACATCCAGATATGAACCAAGACCTTGCCAACACTGCCAATTAATACCAAGACCTTCAGCGAGGTCCTCTGAGGTTCAGGTCACAAGTTAAATGCACTTGTCTGTCATTCTTGCCCTGGGAGGTGATGCTTCTGTACTGCAAAGTGGTAGCAAAATCAGGAAGGGCAAGGGGTAAGTGTCACGTCAGCTGAGAGTGCTCTGTCTGCCTCCCTGGTTTGCATTGCAGCTGTTGGCACAGCAGAGGGGCAGAGCTCTCCCACCCAACAGCAATACAGAAGGCATTGCAGAGATCTTAGCAAAACTGAGTTTAATCTCCCACTGTAGGCAGTCATGTTGTATCACACTGTATGTTAACCTGTCAGGCTCAGTCTCAAAAGCCATGTGATTTCTTGCTGGCTGCTGCAAGAATGAAGAGATTTCAGAAGATCAGTCTTCAGTTAGAAAATGTCACACATGTAATGATCTCCTCCATGAAGCAAAGGCTGCACAAATACAGCACATGCACCAAACAAACATATAGAAAGCTGAGCTATGTCTTGGCTTGCTTAGATGAGCAGTGAAATAAAGGATGAAACCACCAAACTCCTTGGAAAAGTCAAATATACACTGGAGATATGATTCAATCACATTTCAAGAATCTGTCAAAAAGAAAGGCTCTTCTCAAAGTCCATTGGGTTTCCCTCAGCACTGCCTGTATTAAAGGCAGCTCAGCTTTCTTTTGACAAGTTTTTACCCAATAGACTTGACTTCCTGAGAAATGTCAGCTTTTTACTGTGATGGCCACAGAAGTGCTGGAGCTGTCCTGCAAGACAACTTAAAAACCACTCTGTGCTTCTGGAGCTAGCTTGACACTGACCTGTTTGTCATCATTAAAACATCAGCTGGCACAAACCACCTGGCTGACTACATCCAGACCCTCAGGCAACTATGTAATGAGTATTCATTCTTCAAGGTCCATAAAACATCTGCTCCATGTAGCCTCAACATTCCCTATCCATTTCTGCTTGTTATGATGAGTCCCTGAGAGGCAGCAGCAGCTGACCCAGAAGCTGAGGCTCAGGGCACTGCAGACTCCCTGCTCCCAGAGAGGCTCTGGCTGGGATGGTGGCTCACCAAGCTGGGCATGGGACTGTTCTGCACAGAGTCACTCCAGCTGGCATCCTGCCTGCTCACACCAAAATCTGCAGCCTCTCATCTCCTCAGTCCTGATACCCATTTAACTCTTGGTTTCTTCCAGTTCCTACCACTCCAGCCTTATTCCCTACTCATGCAAGACTTTAATGTGCTCTACTAGCATTCTACTACAAGAGCAAGATTTCTGCAGCTAGAGAAAGGATAAAATCCCCATCCTGGGAAGCTAATCACAAGCAAGCAGCAATGCTTATATTTGAACATGAGGAACTGATTACAGGGATGAAATAAGTAACCATAAAAACATTTTCAGGTTATCTTCAAGTACTGGCACAGCTGAGGAAATTGTAGTGTGTTTGCTGACATTTGGGGAACAAGTGTAACAAGACTATTATGTGCTGAATATTCATCCAAACCAAGTTTTAGGCAGATTACAGTGTCATAAATATTAGATGGAAAGGCAGATTGTGTTCATTTTGCTGTGGTAGGAGAGATCTAACACAAAACTACTAATGTTTAGCAGGGAAATAATACAAAATGCAGCTGAGCAGTTGAGGCTGGTGGGGACATACATACTAGACTCCGTTCATTGCAGTACTGTTCTTACATTTTTAAATCCTCTGTAAAGCACTTGAAGTTCTCTTTTAGTGAAATTGGTTTGTGCTTCAAGCTGTTCCAGTCCCTCAGGTCTATGGCACACTGTAGTCATTTCTAATTCATCTTCAATTTTATCTGAAAGAGAAGACAGGAAAATATTTATTTTGGTTGTTACCTTTGCTCTATTGACATGACAGATAGGACAGACTGGATTTCAAGAGCAACAGAAAGAAAAGAAACCATCAACAGAACTGATCTCTAGAACTCTTTTCAACCTCTTGAAAGCAAAATAAAAGCCATATGAGTCAAGCAATAGCTCCCATTTGTTACTGAGCTGCCAATTAGCTCACAAAGCTAATTCACAAAGCCCAAACTGGTGGTGAGAGCAGGAGGACAAGCAGCAGATACATTGCTCCAAAGGGCCACCAGACAATCCAGACCTAAGTACTGAAACAGTGTGGAGGAATAGGATTTTCAAAGGAATAGCTTTGAAGAAAGCTGTGCGAGAGAGAGAGCAGATGTGCTGGAGCATATTAAAAGACATGTGAGAGAGCAGATGTGCTGGAGCATATTAGACAATGACATTATTTTGAGGGTAAGCAGTGAAGGAAACTGTTCTGTGTGCTAACCAAAAAGCTTGCTACAGAGACACTAAAGGTCACTTTAGTCCTAGGACACCCACAGTTGCCAAATCTGGATTCACTCCAGCTTGCATTTGCATGGACCTTTGGGGGAAGCAGATAAGAAATGAAAAACACTTATGTGCATTTTATTCAAGAAAGTTTTCTTCCACAAGGAAGAAAAATGCTTGAGACCTATCACATCCTCTATTACCATAATCTCACTTCTTTTTTGATGCATGTTTTTCCCTGTCAAACCCATTTCCTCAGGACTGTAGGTAATGCCCAAATATATACAGATACTTAGTTCCTATCAGTTTGAGATTCACTAAACTTCAAGGACCAGATCCAGGTTGTAGCTGACATGAAAATCCAATCTACATCCAAAAGTTGCTTGGCATAAAAGCTAATGTTCCCCTTATTTTCAAAACTGCACAATTTATGCCCTGTTAAAAAAAAAAAAAAAAAAAAAAAAAAAAAAAAACAACTTAAAAAAAGAATTTAATGAAAAATGTGCAAGAAAATGGAGTCACTCTGATGGAGGAAAGGCATGAATTCAGGGCAGACTGAGTCAGTGAAAGAACAGCCCTGACCAAAGCTCTCTTTTCAGAATTAATTCTGCATGTATACATATATATGAATGTTATTAAGGGGACACAAGTCAGTGAGTGCTAGTGGTTACTTAACTTTGGTTCATTGTGTCAACAATTAGAAATCAGTTTGATATATTGGTGAATTCAGCCATCCTCCTAATCTACTGTGTCTGGATTGTCAGTGAGCATTTGTGGGGCTTGAGCAGCTAAAATACAAACCTCAATACTGTGCTGAAGGTCCCTTGCACAGCAGGGGGATAAAGGTAAGAGACTAAACCAGCCTGAGACAGGAGCAGAGCAGCACAGCCATTTGTGGTGCAGAAACAGTGATGAGTGCTGACAAGCAGCCAGAAGAGGCCTGAAGGATCAGGATCCTGTATGGACCACCATCCCCACAAAAAGGGACAATGAAGAGTTTAGAAATTACAGCTCCTGTTAGACAAAAGGAGATGGAAAAGGATGTCTGCTATCAGAAAAAGAACAGTTAATGTGAAATAAAGGGGAAAAGCCATTTTCTTTGCAAGAGAACTCATGTCACAAAATGATGCAATGTAGAAGCTGTAAAGAGAAAAAAGTGAGAAAGAAACTCCTTAAAATGAGTGAAAATGAATGAGTGGATTAAAAAAGGGAAAGTACATCCATTTTAAAGGGAACTACATTACAGAGACTCATCACTAATCCATACATTGCACAGGAAATACCTTTCCAGTTACCTCTGGTTTACCATGTGCTATGCAGACCTTGACCTGAACAACACACACATAACCCAGCTCCTCTCCTGCACATCCCCACTGTCCCTCCATGCCATAAGATGTTTACACAGGGCCTTGAAAGTGTTTGTTTTTCTGCTGTGCCTGTTGGGCTCAGAGCCTTTCTCTGCTCTGTGACCAGCTAAGCACACCTAGCTGTTCCCTGACACAATCCCAGAATGGTTCAGGTTGGCAGGGACCACCAGTAGGGTCATGTGGGCCAAACTCCCTGCTCAAGCAGGAGCACGTTGCACAGGATTGCAATGGAAACATTGGGATGGAAGACATCCCAGACCTGCTGAGCACAGTTACAGGCTCTTCCCACACCAGGCTGCTTCCCAAGTCTTGATAACTTGGCCATAAAATGAGACAGGGGAGAATCAGATTAGATATTCTCTGGGCAACCTGTCCAGGAAGCAGTGCACAGTGAAGTTCTTCCTTGTATTCAGGTAGAACTTTCTGGGCATCAGTCTCCGTCCATTGCCTCTTGCTTTATTGGTTTGCCCCACAGAGCAGAGTCTGATCATCCTCTTGGACTCCCTTTACATACTTGTATACATAATGAGGTCCCTCTCAGTTTGTCTCTTCTCGAGGCTGAACAGCCCCAACTCCCTCAGCCTTTCCTCATCCCTGATGTGCTCCAGTCCCTGCAGCATCTCTGCCACCCTCCCCTGGACCTGTCCATGAGCTCCATGTCCCTCTGGTCCTGAGGAGCCCAGAAATGGACACAGCACTCCAGGTGTGACCTGAGGGCTGAGCAGAGAGCTAGGATCACCTCTCCGACCTGCTGGCAATACTTTTCTTACAATGGCATTTCCTGTTGCCTGAGTCACCCTAAAGATCTTTACAACTTCAGTCGATGTAAACTGTAAGTATAAAATACCAGCCAACTAGTCTTTATATCTTGTCATATAATTTACAGAGAGAGAGAGGGGGATAAAACAGAAATCTCTATGCAGCCTCACATCCACAGTGAGGCTAATGAGGGAAAACAGTCTGCTGAACACACTCACACTTGCTTTTATTTATGCACCCACAACTTGGAGGTTCACACGTTTCTACAGAGGCAGGAAAAAATCCAGCTGAGAATAGTCACACTCTTTGCAGAAGCATTTTGATATTTTTGTGGGTCTTTTATTTACCATATACTTTCCCACCTCCATCTTAATCAGCCAGTTTTTCAAAACACTTACTGGAATTTGTGTTAAGTATTCTAAAAAACCAAGTAATTAAAGAAAAAGGTCTCACTCATGGAAAACTTGCTCTATAGCTCCATGGTAGTTTTAAACAAAATCTGCAGAATTACAGCTCAAAACTCAGAGTTATCCAGATGCCCTTTCTAAGAGCAGATGCAAGATTAATGTCTTGGAATTAGTGGGTTTTGTCCCCCAAATATACTTGAATAAAACATACTTGGTGAACACTGTAATTTAGTAACATTTGTCTTTTGACAGTACTAGCCTCATTCAGTGAATCATTACTTCACAAGAGTGTAGCTCGTGTCCTTCAGCTTGTCCTGCAAGAATATGCTTTTCCAACAATCAACCCATGAGCTTTGGTCCTACAGGGCAGATATTCTGTGTTAAAAATAAGCCAGATTATTGTTGTAGATTTGATTCTACTTTCCATGCTGAGAAATGTGTCTCTTTTCTCTATAACAAACTGCAGAAAGGAAATTATGAAAAATTCCTCCCTCTCCAAGGGACAATCTATTTTTTTCCTTCCGTTCCCTATTCCAGAACCTGTGTTGAACTCTCCCTCTGAAGAAGATCCAATGGTTCCCTGTGGGTTAATCCTTTCATCTGCTTCCCCTTCCTCTCCCAAGGGAAATACTTTTAAAGTAGGCTAAAAACTTGTAAACCTTTAGATCCTGCCAAGGAGTACTCAAAATGTCACCAAACCAAGCATTTTCCAGTAAACACAGACAGAAATGGTAGAAGCTGTTCCTCCAGTGGAACAGGCTCCAGTGCAGCAGAGCAGTCCTGGGCAGACCTTTGTGCAGCACCATAGAAAATACATACAACAAACACTTGCTAGGTCATTTTGTCTATCACTCACCAACTTCACATTAATAGGCCTCATAGGTCAAACATCTTCTCCGTCATGTCCATCACATTTTAGCTTTGCTCAGTTGTCATCCTGTATTCAAAGGTTTTCCTTCAGCAACATCCCTGTCCATCCTTCCTCCCTTCCCAGCCCAAGTCTGCAGTGGGTGCAGTGCAGACAGGAGGGACCTGGAGACAGAGACCTAAGGGCACAAACTGCTCCTGTGCAAACTGATCATTTCCAACTCAATACTCCTCACCCTCCACAAAGATTTGGTTGGTCATTCTTTGCTTTCCTTTCAGTGCTGGCTCTTAAATTAGCTCTTTTCAACATTTTTCTTCCATTCCCTGACACCCTATAAATTAACCACAGTAACCTCAGTGACAAAACAGGAGATTGTCACATTCTCCTCTGCCCTTGCTTTTTATCATGGATATTGTATTTCCTTTTATTTACATTTTCATTATCGTGCTGGCTCAGTCCCTCCAGGTCTCCAGAGATGTCACTGCATGAAATATGAGCCCCTGCATTTATAAACACTACAGTTTTATTAAACTGAAGCTCACTTCAGGGTGGTAAGTGTAAGCAAAAGTGTATATACATAAACACATGCAAATTTAAACTTTTGGTAGGAATGATGTTCAGATATTTTATCTAACATCATATTCTCCCTCAGTTTTGCCTGTTTACAGCTTGCCAAACACCCTGAGAGGTTTCAGCATGGGAAACAACCATGCCACTAGTTTAAAGTTCATTTTCTTATCCTTCAATTTGCAAGTGCATGAATAGACCTTGGAACAGACTGCAGCTACTGCAAGGGATGTGTGTGGTCACCTGCCCAGCTCAGTGACACCTGTGACTGCCCCTGGGGCCTGCAGCATCCCTTCCCAGCTGGATGTCAGTCCCTGCCCTGGGGAGAGAGACACTTGTCCAAGGGTCTGGGTACCAATACAGCTGGTTAGTGAGAACTTGAGCTTTAGCAAATAGGTCCCAAGTTATTATTCTGGATCTCAAAGCATGATCTTATTTTTTGTTGGGTTATCTGTGCTCACTGTGGACACAGTAATTAACACAAAAGGTTTCTCCTGCTTGCAGGTACTGATAAATAATTTATTCTCTCTTTTGTTTTGCTTTGGTTTGTTGTTAGCTCCATCACTTGTTGAAATCATCCCTGGATAAATCCTTTACACATCAGATAGCTGCAGTGGTTGTGTCCTAGGCTGAAGACTGTTTAGCCAGTACAGAACATTCTCTTAACTGTTTTCCTTACCTTGTGTTTAAAACCAGAGGAATGGAAAGCAGCACTTGCAGTTAGGATTTGTCTCTGGAGGTATTTTTGTGGGTTTGGAGCCTGAGTCTGATAGAATCACCTGTGCTAATCCTACTCCAAACCAGGGCCAGGTAATAATAATTACTTAATTGTACGTATTTTTTTGTGCAAAATAGCATCTCTATTTGCTTAACCCATAGGACAGGCACATTTTTTACATCAAACAAACGGTAACTTCATGTTACAAAGAAAAATAATGTTGACACAATTGCCTGTACATGCATATTTTACAGACTGTTGCTAATGAAAAATACTGCATTTCACTTCTGTGTTCCTTGCTCAAGAGCAGAGAACAAATTTTCATTAAGGCAGATCAATATTTTAAGGAAATTCACTTTAGAAATTACTTAACGAGGCTCAGTTTCTTCTTCCTTTCATGTTTGCTCTAATTTTACCTTTTGTTGTTTTTACAATTTGTAAAGTTCCATACTTGTCTGCCTGCAAGTAGCCCTGTGTTTCCCAGAATCCCAGTATGGTTTGGGTTGGAAGAGACCCAGTTCCAGCCCCTGCCATCACCTGGGACACCTTCCACCAGAGCAGGTTCCTCAGAGCCTCGTCCAGCCTGGCCTGGAACACCTCTGCTGCACTGCTGAAGGGAATTTGCATTTCTCAAAGTGATCAACTGCAGTAATTTAGCCTTATTCATGTAAAAACTGTCTTGTACACCTATATGTCTATGGACAACATTGTGTCATCATTGAGGAAACCAGAGTTTTCAACCACAGCTGACCACTCTCTATCACAGGACCAGGCAAAGGACTCAGTCCTTCCTTTAGCCATTGTAAAAACAAAAAAAAATAAACTAATTTATTGAGCTGGAAGGAAAACAACCTGCTCCAATATTTCACTTTTCCAGATCTTTCTGTCTCCCTCACTGGAGATATTCCAGAGCTGTCTGGACACCATCCTGTGCCGTGTGCTCTGGGATGGCCCTGCTTGAGCAGGGAGGTGGGACCAGATGGGCCACTGAGATCCTTAACAGCATAACTGATTCTGTGATTCCACTGGACACAGGCACATTCATCAGCCATATTATGGAAAACACTGTGAATTTATCTTAAAAACAGATAATGTCATGCACTTCCAGACAGCAACATGAACTGAGGCATGTTCCTACCCCAATTCCTAACCATGCAGAGACCCATCACCAACCTGCCAGAGCAGGAGCAGGGGGTAGGGACATGTGTGACAGAAGTGAAGCCCTAAAATCCTCTAGTGACAGCACATCGTCTAGTATTCCCTCTAGTGAGTTGTTTCCACACAGGAATGCTGAACCAATATTCTCCAGATCCAGCAATCCTTTGCTCTTATGCAGAACAGATTAAACTGGTCACAGCCAACACCAAAGTGTATTTCTGCTCTTTAAAACAGGAAAACCAATTTTGTTTAGCAGCTGCTGCCACAGCTCTGGGTTTGAAGAGCCCCTGGGCCACATTTATAAACCTGCCTGTCCTTCCTCACGCTGGCAGCTGCCCCTGCAGCACCTGGCACAGTGCTGGTTCTGCTGGGCCAAACTCCCTTGGGAAGCACAAACAGCACCAAACACCTCTCTCAGAGTGGCCACCTGCCTTTCCAACCTGTGTGCCTACAGCAATGCCCTGTACAGCACCAGGGTTGACCAAGGACAACCCAAAGCCTAAAACACAGCTTAGAAGGAGGGTGTCAATGATGATTTAATAAAAATGCAAATGTCCCTGTCCCCTGCTTCCAAAAGCTGCAAGGTGAGACTGTGGAACACCAGGCTCCATGGCTCATGAGAGGGTTTTGAAAACAAGTTGCTTATAATAAATTCACTTTTTGCTAAAGCAAAAAAAAAATAATCAAGATGTAAAATGCAGCTAATGTGCCCAGCGTTAATTGTAAAACTGACAGGCCTTAGATGAAATGGGTAATTTTACAAATACAGCTGAAGGGGATTAAATTATGTGCATGAATTATTAGACTGCATCTTATTTTTATTAAAAAACAACATTAGCTATATTTTAGGAGCAGGCATTTGAAGAAAAAAATAACTCTGGCTTATCCATGACATATTTCAATTCATCTCCAGGCAGAACACACCTTTGGGCAGGTCTCACAGGAGATCCATCCTGCCTGTGGGAAGTCAAGTGCAAATGTTTGGAAATTTCATGAAGAGAAATCCCAGAATATTCAGAGTTGGAAGGGACCTTTGAGGATCATCTAGCCCAACTCCTGTCCCTGCACAGGACACCCCAACAATGCACCCTGTGCTGAGAGCATTGGCCAAACACTCCTAGAGCCTGGCAGGGACAGACAGCTGACAGCTCACACACAGCTAGGAGCCCCAAAAAGGGGTAAGGAAAATCTGCTCATGGCAAACAGCAGTAAGAAAATGGCACAAAAATACCTACTGATGAATCAAACATTAAAACACATTTCATTAAAATTGAACACTCTATTATCACTATTAAAAATAATTATTAATATTACTGCCTGGATGGAGAGAGCCATTTCCAAACCTAAGGGGCAATAAACCAAATAGAGATTGGTGGCACCTTATCAATTCTCTTTTTCTGAAAGGATTTTTTGACTCCTTCAGGTCTATTTTCACCACCAAATCAGCAACATCAAATTCATTTTGGAGTCAAGCTTAGCAGGGTTGTTTTGCCTGTGTGAACCTGCAACATCACTACTTGCCAAGAGAAGCTACATGAAAACCCAACAGTGTATACAATTCTGGAGAAAAACAGCTAATAATAACAAATATAGTGTAATGAAAAAGAAATACAATTTTAAGATTTGTTGTCTAATCCTTGCAATGATCTATGCACAATGTCACTTCTCTGTGACTCTCCACTCCTTTAATTAGTTTCACAGTTGTACACAGAGATGCAAACCCAACATTTTACACCAAAAAGGACGTGCAGGAATAGTCAGGGGCCAGAGGTACCCCCCAAATGTCTTCCTGGCACACAACTAAGACCAGGTACAATGGTTTGAACATGAAAGATGTAATGTCAAATTTGACTTCAGATGTTTCTGCAGACAGTGCATGAAGTCCACTCATCACTAGAACTAGCTTTGCTGTGCCCATCCCCAGGGCAGGAGGCTGCAGGGTGGCCTTCCACTACACTGGACCTTATCCAGGACAGCATTTCCTTTTCAATCTTCCCTGCACATTCCCACCTATCTTGCAGCAGCATTTATAAGGGAAACAGCTTGTCAAAACAGATGGAATACCACTGAGAGTTTGCTTGGTGCTTTGCTTCTTTTCCATGAGGACACTGCAGAAAACGTGTTTCTGCGACAAACACTTTCCCCCAAACAGCCGTTTGAAGGTGGATTTGCAAAAAAAACAACCCTCACTGGAATGGTTAGAAAATCATTTCCTTCTGAGGATTTTCAAAAAAATTCCCACTAATACCATCTCAAACTTCACATGGCGAGGATCTGAGCTGGGAATTATACATGACACACTTGAGATGTGGCTGATGCTAATCCCATGAAGTTCTACCAAGGGCAGGGCAAGGTCCTCCTGATCAGGGCTGCAGCCAGAGGAGTGTGGCAGCAGGTGAGGGAGGGAATTCTGTCCCTCTGCTCTGCTGAGACCCACCTGGAGTGCTGCACACAGCTCTGGTGTCCCCAACAGCAGAAGGACATGGAACTGTTGGAGCAAGGCCAGAGGAGGCCACAAAGCTGATCAGAGCACTGGAGCACCTTCCCTATGAGGACAGGCTGAGAGAGTTGGGGCTGTTCAGCCTGGAGAAGAGAAGGTTGTGTGGTCCAGTCCCAGCTGGGGCTCCTTCCTCAGAGGGCACTGGGCTGCTGCCCAGCTGCAGCCTCACCCAGAACTGAGCTGTTTTCTTTCTATTTCTATGATAATAAACTCAGCCAGGGGGAACCTTTTTTCTAGGTGAAGAAAAGCTTTGCTACAAAAATGATATGATTGAGTCAAACTGGTTTAAATGTTACCTCTCTGATACACGTAAAACCATCGGGCAGGGTCTAGGAAAAAGGCAGAAAAAAATTTAACAGAAAGTGACAACCATTCACAGCTTTGTCTTTTGTTAATTTTAAGGTGACATTGTGTGTGTTTCTGCAAGTGCCATAGGGTCCCCTTTCCCAGTGGCTGTGGGATTGTTTTCAGGTGTATTATACATATTTTTTCCCCCTGAATTGCCTCTTCCCCTTACCCCAAAGGGCAGGAAAGGAAGTCAGAGCTTGCTGTCCCCTGCATGACCATGAAACTCAGGGCAGCAGGTGAAGGGAAGCATGCACCCAGTCATGCACCCATGCAAGCATCCATGCATGCAGCAAGGCAGCAATGCAGCAGTGATCAGAGAGCTCAGACAGGGGATAAAGAGGACTTTGCATGTAATTCTTGAAGGGCAGCAAAAGGGGCTCTCAGCACTGTACTTCCTCTCCATAGTTTAGCTCTCCAGAGCTGTAGAAATAAAACAGTGATTAGTAAGGGTGAAGAGGTCTCAGGTGGTCTGGAAGACTCTAACTGGTGCTCTGATGAGTCACATCACTTGCAACACCATCAGTTTGTACTATCCTCACACCCCTTGGGAGAAAATGTCATCAGCAAATTAGATTGAAAGTAACAGAATAACAAGT